GTCGAAAAAATATTTTTAAAAAATATACGCTTGAAATTATTCTTTGAAAAAATATTTTTATCCACGCTTGAAATTATTCTTTGAAAAAATATTTTTATCCACGCTTGAAATTATTCTTTGAAAAAATATTTTTATCCACGCTTGGAATTATAGTCGAAAAAATATTTTTAAAAAATCCAACTTTGAATTAAAATCGAAAAAAAAATTAAGATATCCACGCCTGGAATTATTCTTTGACAAAACATTTTTAAAAAATTCACGCTTGGAATTATTCTTTGAAAAAATATTTTTAAAAAATCCACGCTTGAAATTATAGTCGAAAATATATTTTTAAAAAATCCACGCTTGGAATTATAGTCGAAAAATATTTTTAAATAATCCGCGCAGGGAATTTTAGTTGGAAAAATATTTTTAAAAATCTCACGCTTGGAATTACAGTCGAAAAAATATTTTTAAAAAATCCACGCTTGGAATTATAGTCGAAAAAAATATTTTTAAAAAATCCAGGCTTGGAATTATAGTCGAATAAATATTTTTAAAAAATCCACGCTTGAAATTATTCTTTGAAAAAATATTTTTAAAAAATCCACGCTTGGAATTATTGTCGAAAAAAATATTTTTAAAAAATCCACGCTTGAAATTATAGTCGAAAAAAATATTTTTAAAAAATCCACGCTTGGAATTATTGTCGAAAAAAATATTTTTAAAAAATCCACGCATGGAATTATAGTCGAAAAAATATTTTTAAAAAATCCAGGCTTGGAATTACAGTCGAAAAAACATTTTTAATAAATCCAGGCTTGGAATTATTCTTTGAAAAAATATTTTTACAAAATCCACGCTTGGAATTATTCTTTGAAAAAATATTTTTAAATAATCCACGCTTGGAATTTTCCTTGGAAAAAATATTTTTAAAAAATCCACGCTTGGTATTTTCATTCGAAAAAATATTTTTAAAAAATCCACGCTTGGTATTTTCATTCGAAAAAATATTTTTAAAAAATCCACGCTTGGTATTTTCATTCGAAAAAATATTTTTAAAAAATCCACGCTTATAAATAAATTCTAAAAAATATTATTAAAAAATCCACGCTTATAAATAAATTCTAAAAAATATTATTAAAAAATCCACGCTTATAAATAAATTCTAAAAATATTATTAAAAAATCCACGCTTATAAATAAATTCTAAAAAATATTATTAAAAAATCCACGCTTATAAATAAATTCTAAAAAATATTATTAAAAATCCACGCTTATAAATAAATTCTAAAAAATATTATTAAAAAATCCACGCTTATAAATAAATTCTAAAAAATATTTTTAAAAAATCCACGCTTATAAATAAATTCTAAAAAATATTTTTAAAAAATCCACGCTTGTAAATAAATTCAAAAAAATATTTTTAAAAAATCCACGCTTGGAATTTTCCTTCGAAAAAAAATTCTTAAAAAATCCCCACTTATAAATAAATTCGAAAAAATATTTTTAAAAAATCCAGGCTTGGAATTTTCCTTCGAAAAAAAATTCTTAAAAAATCCCCACTTATAAATAAATTCGAAAAAATATTTTTAAAAAATCCACGCTTATAAATAAATTCTAAAAAAAATATTTTTAAAAAATCCACGCTTATAAATAAATTCAAAAAAAAATATTTTTAAAAAATCCACGCTTATAAATAAATTCTAAAATTTTTTTTTAAAAAATCCACGCTTATAAATAAATTCTAAAAAAAATATTTTTAAAAAATCCACGCTTATAAATAAATTCTAAAAAAAAATATTTTTAAAAAATCCACGCTTATAAATAAATTCTAAAATTTTTTTTTAAAAAATCCACGCTTATAAATAAATTCTAAAAAAATATTTTTAAAAAGATCCACGCTTATAAATAAATTCTAAAAAAATATTTTTACAAAATCCACGCTTGTAAATAAATTCGAAAAAGAATTTTAAAAAATCCACGCTTATAAATAAATTCTAAAATTTTTTTTTAAAAAATCGACGCTTATAAATAAATTCTAAAAAAATTATTTTTAAAAAATCCACGCTTATAAAAAAATTCTAAAAAAATATTTTTAAAAAATCCACGCTTATAAATAAATTCTATAAAAATATTTTTAAAAATCCACACTTATAAATAAATTCTAAAATAAATATTTTTTAAAAATCCACGCTTATAAATAAATTCTAAAAAAAATATTTTTAAAAATCCACGCTTATAAATAAATTCTAAAAAAATATTTTTAAAAATCCACGCTTATAAATAAATTCTAAAAAAATATTTTTAAAAAATCCACGCTTATAAATAAATTCTAAAAAAAATATTTTTAAAAAATCCACGCTTATAAATAAATTCTAAAAAAATATTTTTAAAAAGATCCACGCTTATAAATAAATTCTAAAAAAATATTTTTACAAAATCCACGCTTGTAAATAAATTCGAAAAAGAATTTTAAAAAATCCACGCTTATAAATAAATTGGAAAAAATATTTTTAAGAAATCCACGCTTGTAAATAAATTGGAAAAAATATTTTTAAAAAATCCACGCTTATAGATAAATTGGAAAAAATATTTTTAAAAAATCCACGCTTGTAAATAAATTCGAAAAAGAATTTTAAAAAATCCACGCTTATAAATAAATTGGAAAAAATATTTTTAAGAAATCCACGCTTGTAAATAAATTGGAAAAAATATTTTTAAAAAATCCACGCTTATAGATAAATTGGAAAAAATATTTTTAAAAAATCCACGCTTGTAAATAAATTGGAAAAAATATTTTTAAAAAATCCACGCTTATAAATAAATTCTAAAAATATTTTTAAAAAATCCACGCTTATAAATAATTTTGAAAAAATATTTTTTAAAAAATCCACGCATATAAATAATTTTGAAAAAATATTTTTAAAAAATCCTCGCTTATATATAATTTTGAAAAAATATTTTTAAAAAATCCACGCTTATATATAATTTTGAAAAAATATGTTTAAAAAATCCACGCTTATAAAAAATTTCGAAAAAAAATTATTTCTAAAAAATCCACGCTTGTAAATAATTTGGGAAAAAATATTTTTAAAAAATCCACTCTTGTAAATAAATTGGAAAAAATATTTTTAAAAAATCCACGCTTATAAATAATTTCGATAGGAAATATTTTTAAAAAATCCACGCTTATAAATAAATTCGAAAAAATATTTTTAAAAAATCCACTCTTGTAAATAAATTGGAAAAAATATTTTTAAAAAATCCACGCTTATAAATAATTTCGATAGGAAATATTTTTAAAAAATCCACGCTTATAAATAAATTCGAAAAAATATTTTTAAAAAATCCATGCTCGAAATTTTCCTTTGAAAAAATGTTTTTAAAAAAATCCACGCTTGAAATTTTCCTTTGAAAAAAAATTTTTAAAAAATCCACGCTTGGAATTATTCTTTGAAAAAATATTTTTAAAAAATCCACGCTTCTAAATAAATTCGAAATAATGTTTTAAAAAAATCAAGTTTGTACATAAATTCGTAAAAAATGTTTTTAAAAAATCCACGCTTGTAAATAATTTTGAAAAAATATTTCTAAAAAATCCACGCTCATAAATAATTTTGAAAAAATATTTTTAAAAAATCCACGCTTGGAATTTTCCTTTGAAAAATTATTTTTAAAAAATCCAAGCTTGGAATTTTCCTTCGAAAAAATATTTTTAAAAAATCCACGCTTGGAATTTTCCTTTGAAAAATTATTTTTAAAAAATCCAATCTTGGAATTTTCCTTCGAAAAAATATTTTTAAAAAATCCACGCTTGGAATTATTCTTTGAAAAAATATTTTTAAAAAAGGCCCCTTGGAATGGTAGTGGATTCTCTTTGTTTTTATTTTTTTGGGAAATCGTTAAAACAATGCCTCATCACCTCCAGCTGGCTGGCTGGCTGGAGGTGGTGCAAAGAAACCAACAAAAAAATGGAAACCCAAAAGAAGTGTTGTTACATTTTCGCACTTTTTCATACTGCAATTGTTTTGCCAGGCGGACGGCAGCCTCAGAGCCAAGAAGTGTTGGCGTTGGTAATATGCAACACCAATTGTTGCACGTTTTCTGTTGGCGGGCCATGTTACAGTTCATTATTATTAGCGTTTTGAGTTGGTGTGTGAGGCAACAGCAGACAGCCAGACGGACAGACAGGCAGCAAATATTATGCTTTGATTTAGTTTTAAATTACCAACAAATACCTGCAACGTGCCTAGCCGAGACCGAGTGTAATCATTTGGGGAGCTATGAGTGATGATGGCAAAATTGTTGCTGCTATTTTTCTTTTATGGCTTGATGCCGAAAACAAAAAAAAAAATCTAATGGCATATTGCAGCAATAATGTGTTGCCTGGGTCTTGGGGTGCCAAGAAGACCTGGCCTCCTCTCATGCCCAAATTCGTTCGTTTCCCCCCCAATGGAGTTTTGATTTTTGATTTTCGATTTTTTTTTTTTTTGCTTTTGCTGGAAAACTCTAGGCCTTCTGTAAACTTGCATTTTCATTTGTTGATGGCTGGTTTTTCTCAATACTGGCTAAGGCTTCTATGACTATGCCAATATTTTTGGCTTACAAATTTTTAGCCGACTTACTACCTGTACTGCCACCACTCGAGCTGCTGCTGCCGCCATACATACGTCGTAATTTGTATTCGTTTATTCAGACTTCTTGGTTATATTTTTGTTTTTGCCGCCAATAATAACAAACCAAAAACAAGCAGCCAACCCGCCAGCCAGCCAGTCAGCAGCTATGAAGAAAAACCAAAACAAGCCCCCCCTCCCCCTTTTCCTCTTGCCATTGCAAACGACCTGTAACGTATTTTTATTTCGGGGGATCTTTGTATGACCCAGCCCCCCTTCCGCCTCCTCCTCCTCTTCTGGCCGGCCACATTTATCTGCCTGGCGTCTGGCGTCACAAGAGTTGCGTTGTTTCTGCTCATTTGATTGCTTGGTTCGTTTAGTTGGGTTTTTATGTTTTTTTTTTAGTTTTGTTTCTATTTGGCGGATTTCTTGAAGTTTTCGTATAAAAGTTAGTGCTAAGCGTTTGGATGGTATCATTTAATTGTTAACTGTGCAGCTATAGACAACATAGCAATCTAGCACAGCTTTTCTTAAATTTAAGATACGTGTGCGTTCCTTACGTTAAGCGTGCGGCTCGGATACATAAAGTAATAATTTTTTTGAAAATACAAAACAAACAACAACAAAAAAATAATATTAAAAAAATATTTAAAAAAATTCCTTAAAAAAAATAAAGTGTTGAAATAATTTGCATTTGAAGTTTGTTGCTTAAGTCTTTTGTTTTCCTCTCTCTCTCTCTTCATTTCATGTGTACGTGTTCCTGCCATAACCAGCATTACTGTGTAATTCGAAAAAAACAAGGATACTTTTTTTGTGGATATTTTGTGGCCAAGTTGCTTTGCTTCGCTCACCTAAGCTAATCAAATACCAACAAACACCATGAAGTTAATGGTGAGTAAAGGACAGGAAAAAAAGTGGTGTTAAAAATGTGAAAAGGACATTGAAAGCAAAGAAAAGTGTGAAATAACAAAAAAAAGACACAAGAACTCAGAATAGAGAAATCAAATGAAAAATTGGTGCAAAGATATAAAAAGCCCAATTACGATGCCTTTAAGGATAATAGAAAATAATTAAAAAAATATTGATTTAGGCTAATCCTTAAAATACTGGATATCCTACAAACACCGATGTAGTCTTCAATCCTGGGAATTTTGGAAACAATTAAAAAAACTAGTGAATTATAGAAACTCCTACATTTCTGAAGTTCAAGCAATTTAGCCAAATTATATTCGGTCGCCCGGGAGTGCAAAAATAATTCCCATTAAAAATACGATTTTTTTGGATTTTTAATTGCTTTTCCCCCAAAAATTATTTTAAAAATATCTTCAGTCGCAGAAAATCTACAACTGAAAAAAGCTTCTATATTTTATTTCTGAGTAAAAAAAGGCTCGAATAGGAATTTCATTTTTTGGTAGGTTTTTCGGGCACAAAAATTAAGTCTAGGTTTCATAAAATCAAAAATTTCTACGCTTGGAATTATGCTTCGAAACAATAATTTTAAAATATTAAAAAAAAAATCTTTCTAAAAATCCTTGCATAGAATTATCCTTCCAAAAAATTCACTCTGATAATTAAACTCAGAAACATATTTTCCAAAAATATTTTCAGGATATAACAAAAAAAAAATGGGATATAAGAAATGATTTAACAAAAGATAAATGAAAAATGTAAATATAGAGTTCGATAGTCCTCAATAAGGATAATTGAAAAAAAATCCCTTAAGCATTTAAAAGAAAAATCCGATATCCTTCTGTCCTCCTAATACTGTGGCCAAGATAAAAAAATGAAAGAAGAATAACAACTTAAAACCTTTGCATAAATAGATCCTGAAAAAAATTATTCCCAGTCGAAATAATTGAAGTATGGAGTTCCATAGTCTTCATTAAGGATAATTAAAAATAAAAAAAAAAATCCCAAGTGTCGAAAAGAGAAACAATTAGATATCCTTCTGTTCTCCTAATACTGTGGCCAAGATGAAAAAATTAAAGAAGAATAACAACTTAATACCTTTGCATAAATAGATCGAAAATATTTCTGTCTAACTCGGCTTTTGAGAATAGAACGCATTTCTGAAGATGGGAGTGAAAGGTGAATGTTATCCTTGCACCAACATCATGAGGAGAATATATGTTCCCGAAAAAAAATTACATGAAAATAACTCTCAGGAAAACAACTATCTAGTTTTTGGTGTCCTATCTCGGGTTCCAATTATTCGGAGGAAAATGAGATCTTTCTATCCATCCATCAATATTATGAGGAGAACATATGATCCCGAAAAAAATTGACATAAAATTGACTTGCAGGACCATTAATTCGACTAGTAATTTTAAGTGTATCAGGTTTTAATTTTTTGGAGGTTTTTTTAAATTAATTTTCTCAAAATTCCCCCAGTATCTATTGATTGAAAAAAATCCAGTTATTCGGTTCTCTATTTTCAATGAACCTCTTCTCTATATGGAAGGCTAAAATATAATTCCCCTTATCTACATAAGTCCACAATTGGATCTTTCTATGACTTTCAGGACCAATACAACAATAATACAACTAGTCATTTTTAGTGTTCTGTCTCTGGTTCTATTTTTCGGAGGATATCTAATTTCATTTTATTTATTGTTCCCGTTCCAGATTGGATCTGTTTGATTCTAATGCGACTGCCAATAAATTATAAAAATTGTCAAACATTTTTAATATAATATCCCATCATTCACTGTAAGAATCATTTAGCAACCTCAAGCTCATGCAATATTTTCCGCACAAGGCAGAAATATTGGTTGGTCAACAGGCAAAATATTATTCTGCCTGCCTAGTTATGACGAACGCCATCTATAATTCCCTATTTATATGGTTATTCCATAAAATTCCCGGGTATATTGCATGATTTTAGGCGTTTAAAAAGAATAAGCGAAAGGCTATCTATACTTCAATTGCAATATTTTCCACCGAAGCAGTGATATTGTTTGTTTAAGTGACAATAGTCTCACACTCTCACAAAAAAATAAATACAAACTCCGATCAATTTAAAAAATAACATTTTAGTAAAAATCTTACATATGCAAAACGACACCTACACTTCAATTTTAATATTGTTCTCAACAGGGATATTGGTTAGTATATAGACTAATATTTTACTTCCCGCCTAGTCACAACGAACTCCATCTATAATTCACTTTATATATTGCTATTAATTAAAAAATTGCTGCATAGTGCATGCTTTTAGGCGTTTGGAAGCAAGAAAATATAATGGTAAAATATCTGATAAATAGTCACTAGAAACGTTTTCCTAAAGCAAATTATATCCAAACCTCATCTCGCTCAACAATCGAAAAATAGAATCTCTAAGTAAATCAGTAGCTAATCTATTAAAAAAAAAATCTTTAAAACTTTCGTATAAAAGCTTTATTATCTGAGTCAGAAATCACTGTCACAACGAGCGCCATCTGTACCACAAATTCAACAATGATAACCAAACGAAAATTTGGTGCATTGAACTTACTTTTAGGCTTGAAACACTAATAAATTCGTTTTAGTTTCGTAATCAAATACCAATTTTAACACGACCGCACAGAAGAATTGCTAATAGGTTAAAGGAATATTAACCATCTGTTCCACAATTTGAAAATTGATATTCAATGAAGTTTTTCAGGCAATGCAGCAGTTAAAATGTATGATATTATTACCGAAATTGGTATTAAAATAACTACTTTTGAATCATTTATTTAAAAATATGTCAATAGAGGGCGATGAAATAATTCATCGGCTATAAAATCGGAGAAACTGAAAATATTATTGTTTTTCGAGAAGTTTTTTATTTCCTTTATGCGAGGAATAATTTATTGGCTTTTCGATTAAAAAAACTGCGGCAAAAATCACTCAGCCACCACAAGCTCCATCTATACCACAATTTAAACAAAGATTAACAAATAAATTTTTGAGGCATTGTGCATGCGTTTAGGTTTCTAAAAATAATAATGGATTCGCTTTAGAGCCTTAATCAAATGTCAAATTTAATATGACAAATCAACCGCATAGAAGAATTATTAGTGAGTTCAAGGAAAATCCTCATTTGGCCCCATCTGTACCTCAATTTCAGAATTGAAATCCAATTAGGATTTTCAAGCATCGGTTATGCCTTTGAGAGTTAACAGAAATAAATTCAACAGCTAAATGCCGTAATCAAATATCAATTTTAATACAGAGAATCATTCGCACAGAAGAATTGTTAATGGGTTAAAGGAATATAAAGCATCGGGCGCCATCTGTGCCTCAATTTTGGTATTGATATTAAATGAAGATTTTCAATCATCGGGTATGCTTTTGCGAGTTAAAAGAAATAAATTCAGCAGCTAAATGCCGTAATCTAATATCCATTTCAATACGAAAAATCATTCGCACAAAAGAATTGTTATTGGGTTAAAGGAATATTAATCATCGGGCGCCATCTAAGCCTCAATTTCAGAATTAATATTCAATTAAGATTTCCATCATCGGGTATGATGTCGGGGATTAAAAGAAACGAGTTTAGCAGCTAAATGTCGTAATCAAATATCAATTTTAATACAGCAAATCATTCCCACAATACAATTGTTAATAGGTTAAAGCAATGCAAGTCGTTGGGCGCCATCTGTGCCTCAATTTCGAAATTAATATCCATTGAAGTTTTTCAAGCATTAGGTATGCTTTTGAGAGATAAAAAAAACAGATTTGGCAGCTAAATGCCGTAATCAAATATCAATTTTAATGCAGAAAATCATCCTCATGGAAGAATTGTTTATAGGTTAAAGGAATACAAATCGTTGAGCGCCATCTGTGCCTCAATTTTAGTATTGATATCAATGAAGTTTTTCAAGCGTTGGGTATGATTTTAGGCGTAAATGAATCAATTCAGCAGCTAAATGTTCATAATATTATAACCAAAATAGGATTTAAAAAACAACTAATTTTCAATCCTTTGTTTGAAAGTCTGCCAATAGAGGGCGTTGAATCAGCTAGCTAAAAAGTTTTGTTTTCTTTTACGTGAGTTAGCTCCTCTATAAAAACTATCCTGACAAATATTTTTTTGATCTTTTTGAGGATCAACTGACAAAGAAATATACAAATATTATTTTTGTTTCTCTAAAGAAATCCCATAGGTTTTCTATAAGAAATTCCTATTGATACTCTAATATCTTAGGCCAAACTAATCTTCTGCAGGAAGATCAATAGCTCTCCTTCATAAAGGAACCCAAATTTTCCGAACCAAAATTAAAAAATCTACTTTTTACTCCATTCTTCCTCTTTTAACAATAATTTCTCATTTTAAATGCCCTCTCTTTAATATTTGTCTCCTTTTGCCCCCTCTATCCTCCCCCACCAGCGAACAAAATAAAAAAGTCAACTTTTTACTCCATTCTCTTAAAAAACAATTTCTCATTTTAAATTTTTCTCCTTTTCCCTTTCTTCTCCCCCAACAGCGAACAGCATTTCTGCTCGCGGCCCTACTTCTGGTAGTCGTCCAACAGACACGTGCCGAAGAAGAAAAGCAACCAGCCGGAGCTGAGGATAAGAAAATCGAATCAAAGGCCGAAGATGATAAGAAATCCGCCGATGGCACTGATGAGACCACCAAAACTAAACGTGGCCTACATCATTTCGAGGATTATCATCATCATTCGTATCCCATACATGAGCACAAGACCTTAACTATTGTCAAGAAGGTACCATACCCGGTGCCGGTGGAGAAGCATGTACATGTCCCCGTTGAGAAACATGTACCTGTGCCCGTTGAGGTGAAAGTGCCCAAACCCTATCCGGTGGTCAAGCACGTACCCTACGAAGTCAAGGAAATAGTTAAGGTGCCTCACGAGATCCCAGCTCCATATCCCGTGGAAAAGAAAGTTCCTGTACCAGTACATGTACCCTATGATCGTCCAGTCCCCGTTAAGGTATACGTACCAGCACCATACCCAGTAGAAAAGAAGGTGCATGTTCCCGTCAAGGTGCATGTGCCCGCTCCATATCCAGTTGAGAAGAAGGTGCACTATCCTGTCAAGGTTCATGTGCCCGTTGAGAAACCATATCCCGTTGAAAAGGTTGTCCATTATCCCGTTAAGGTGCCCGTCGAGAAGCCAGTCCCATATCCAGTTGAAAAACCTGTACCCTATCATGTTGAGAAACCCGTACCAGTGCCGGTGATTAAGAAGGTTCCAGTTCCTGTACATGTCCCCTATGACAGACCTGTGCCAGTGCATGTTGAAAAACCCGTACCCTATGAGGTTAAGGTGCCCGTGCCCGCCCCCTATCCCGTTGTCAAGGAAATCCCAGTTAAGGTTGAGAAACATGTACCCTATCCCGTGCATGTACCCTACGAAAAGCCCGTGCCCGTCCACTTGGAGAAACATGTACCCGAATACCATGAGAAGCATATCTCCTACAAGGAACCCGAATTCATTCACAAGAAAATCGAGGAGCATCACCATGAACCCATCCATCACATCGAGAGCCACCATGGACTCTCGCTGCATGAGGAACATGAGGTGGATCACGGTCACAGCTATGGTTATCATGGCTATGGCCATCATCATCAATATTATTAGATTAGTGAGATTCTAATTTGAATTTTCTCTTTTTTTTCTCTTTTCTTTTTCCGCAACAGCATCACTAAGAGAGCGATCTGAGAGCCAATCTCCCACCGGAACCAAAAATGTGTAAATAATGAAAAAATGGCAACGGAGAGAGATACAGCTTCAGAGAGTAATACCAGTGATTTGTTACATGTGAGAGTTAAGTGTGAATTGAGAGGGAGAGAGAGAGAGAGAGAAAAAACAGATAGACCGACTTTTGAAAACAAGAAAAAAAAACGTTAAATGGCTTTAATGAGTACTGATTCTAATGATTCTGGAAATGGTAAACAATAACAACAACAACAACAAAAAACGTGATAATGGCCTCAAAATAACGGACTTAGCAATTTATTTAATCAACGAACGCCCCCAACCCCAACCCCCCAGAGAGAGAGTGTGTAGAAAAAACAATCTGAGAGAGAGAGACACAAAGAGTTTTTTTAACTCTCTTTTTATGGATAACTCAGCAATTTTCAATTGAGAGAGAGAGAGAGTTAAGCTTGAAATTCTTCCTCTCTTGATCTAAACCAACTGCCCCAAACTCTGCCCAACTCAACTAGATTTTAAGAGTAACCAACCAACACACAGAGAGAGATTTTTTTATATAAAATAATAATAATAATATTTTTTTTTATTTAGTTTCTAAGCCATCTTTTTTGTGTATAGAACAATTTAATAAGATTTATTAATTTTTTTGAGAATAATTTTAAGGCAATGTCAACATGAGTAATTTTATAAGGTAAAAAATAGGAAAAAAAACTAATTTATATTTGGCTCTCTCTCGATCTCACCAAAAAGAGAGGGAGGGAGAGAGTGATCTCCTCAATATGTAGAATAAACTCGAGAAGAGAAGTACCCCATTTCCGTCCAGCCAACTTTTGCGTGGCTTTAGAAGAGTAAGACTTGAACAACAAAAAAATGAGATTAAGGGCCCCCTAGGACCCCCCCCCCGATAAAGAGATTTTATTTAAAACACCCCCAAACAATTTTTCTTAGACTAGTTTAGCTAAGCTTTTCATTAGCGGATTTTTTTTTATTGATATTATTGTGTTATGTGTATGTAATTTTTTTGTGTAGTTAAAATCCCAGATTTTTATTTTCAATACCCCCTACCCCCCACAAAATCAGCCAAACAAACCGTATTGTATTATATATTGTTCATATTCAAATTTCAAATATTTTACGTGTTTTGTTAAACAGTATTTACATCGAAAAAAAACAATAAGCTATACAAAATGACATACATACATCACATATAACCAATATTTTATGTTACCAAAAAAAATTTAATAACAACAACAAACAACATTTTTCTGCCACTAGAGAAGAATACAAAAATAAAGACAAGTTGAAAAATGTGATAATGATGGAATAATTCAAAATCAAATGGAAAAATGAATAAACGATAATCCAAGTGATTGATTGATCGACCAAACAAAACCAAAATAATAATTTTATGGCTTTTATTTATTTAAATTGGGAATTAAAAAAAATAATGGCAAAAGGTCCAAATTCCTGTAGAAAAAAAGAATTTTTGAAAATTCGAAGGAATTTTTGGAAATTCAAAAAGGGCAGGGCAAAAGGTCCAAATTCCTGTAGAAAAAACAAGGATTTTTGGAAATTCGAACTAAAAATATTCTTTAAAAATTCTTTAAAAAATCCACGTTTATTGCCCTTTAAAAATTCTTTAAAAAATCCACGTTTATTGCCCTTTAAAAATTCTTTAAAAAATCCACGTTTATTGCCCTTTAAATATTCTTTAAAAATTCTTTAAAAAATCCACGTTTATTGCCCTTTAAATATTCTTTAAAAATTCTTTAAAAAATCCACGTTTATTGCCCTTTAAATATTCTTTAAAAATTCTTTAAAAAATCCACGTTTATTGCCCTTTAAATATTCTTTAAAAATTCTTTAAAAAATCCACGTTTATTGCCCTTTAAATATTCTTTAAAAATTCTTTAAAAAATCCACGTTTATTGCCCTTTAAATATTCTTTAAAAATTCTTTAAAAAATCCACGTTTATTGCCCTTTAAATATTCTTTAAAAAATCCACGTTTATTACCCTTTAAATATTCTTTAAAAATTCTTTAAAAAATCCACGTTATTGCCCTTTAAATATTCTTTAAAAATTCTTTAAAAATCCACGTTTATTGCCCTTTAATATTCCTTTAAAAATTCTTTAAAAAATCCACGTTTATTGTCCTTTTAATGTCCTTTAAAAATTCTTTAAAAAATCCACGTTTATTGTCCTTTTAATGTCCTTTAAAAATTCTTTAAAAAATCCACGTTTATTGCCCTTTAAATATTCTTTAAAAATTCTTTAAAAAATCCACGTTTATTGCCCTTTAAATATTCTTTAAAAATTCTTTAAAAAATCCACGTTTATTGCCCTTTAAATATTCTTTAAAAATTCTTTAAAAATCCACGTTTATTGCCCTTTAAATATTCTTTAAAAATTCTTTTAAAAAATCCACGTTTATTGCCCTTTAAATATTCTTTAAAAATTCTTTAAAAAATCCACGTTTATTGCCCTTTAAATATTCTTTAAAAATTCTTTAAAAAATCCACGTTTATTGCCCTTTAAATATTCTTTAAAAATTCTTTAAAAAATCCACGTTTATTGCCCTTTAAATATTCTTTAAAAATTCTTTAAAAAATCCACGTTTATTGCCCTTAAATATTCTTTAAAAATTCTTTAAAAAATCCACGTTATTGCCCTTTAAATATTCTTTAAAAATTCTTTAAAAAATCCACGTTTATTGCCCTTTAAATATTCTTAAAAATTCTTTAAAAAATCCACGTTTATTGCCCTTTAAATATTCTTTAAAAATTCTTTAAAAAATCCACGTTTATTGCCCTTTAAATATTCTTTAAAAATTCTTTAAAAATCCACGTTTATTGCCCTTTAAATATTCTTTAAAAATTCTTTAAAAAATCCACGTTTATTGCCCTTTAAATATTCTTTAAAAATTCTTTAAAAATCCACGTTTATTGCCCTTTAAATATTCTTTAAAAATTCTTTAAAAAATCCCGTTTATTGCCCTTTAAATATTCTTTAAAAATTCTTTAAAAAATCCACGTTTATTGCCCTTTAAATATTCTTTAAAAATTCTTTAAAAAATCCACGTTTATTGCCCTTTAAATATTCTTTAAAAATTCTTTAAAAATCCACGTTTATTGCCCTTTAAATATTCTTTAAAAATTCTTTAAAAAATCCACGTTTATTGCCCTTTAAATATTCTTTAAAAATTCTTTAAAAAATCCACGTTTATTGCCCTTTAAATATTCTTTAAAAATTCTTTAAAAAATCCACGTTTATTGCCCTTTAAATATTCTTTAAAAATTCTTTAAAAAATCCACGTTTATTGCCCTTTAAATATTCTTTAAAAATTCTTTAAAAAATCCACGTTATTGCCCTTTAAATATTCTTTAAAAATTCTTTAAAAAATCCACGTTTATTGCCCTTTAAATATTCTTTAAAAATTCTTTAAAAAATCCACGTTTATTGCCCTTTAAATATTCTTTAAAAATTCTTTAAAAAATCCACGTTTATTGCCCTTTAAATATTCTTTAAAAATTCTTTAAAAAATCCACGTTTATTGCCCTTTAAATATTCTTTAAAAATTCTTTAAAAAATCCACGTTTATTGCCCTTTAAATATTCTTTAAAAATTCTTTAAAAAATCCACGTTTATTGCCCTTTAAATATTCTTTAAAAATTCTTTAAAAATCCACGTTTATTGCCCTTTAAATATTCTTTAAAAATTCTTTAAAAAATCCACGTTTATTGCCCTTTAAATATTCTTTAAAAATTCTTTAAAAAATCCACGTTTATTGCCCTTTAAATATTCTTTAAAAATTCTTTAAAAAATCCACGTTTATTGCCCTTTAAATATTCTTTAAAAATTCTTTAAAAAATCCACGTTTATTGCCCTTTAAATATTCTTTAAAAATTCTTTAAAAAATCCACGTTTATTGCCCTTTAAATATTCTTTAAAAATTCTTTAAAAAATCCACGTTTATTGCCCTTTAAATATTCTTTAAAAATTCTTTAAAAAATCCACGTTTATTGCCCTTTAAATATTCTTTAAAAATTCTTTAAAAAATCCACGTTTATTGCCCTTTAAATATTCTTTAAAAATTCTTTAAAAAATCCACGTTTATTGCCCTTTAAATATTCTTTAAAAATTCTTTAAAAAATCCACGTTTATTGCCCTTTAAATATTCTTTAAAAATTCTTTAAAAAATCCACGTTTATTGCCCTTTAAATATTCTTTAAAAATTCTTTAAAAAATCCACGTTTATTGCCCTTTAAATATTCTTTAAAAATTCTTTAAAAAATCCACGTTTATTGCCCTTTAAATATTCTTTAAAAATTCTTTAAAAAATCCACGTTTATTGCCCTTTAAATATTCTTTAAAAATTCTTTAAAAAATCCACGTTTATTGCCCTTTAAATATTCTTTAAAAATTCTTTAAAAAATCCACGTTTATTGCCCTTTAAATATTCTTTAAAAATTCTTTAAAAAATCCACGTTTATTGCCCTTTAAATATTCTTTAAAAATTCTTTAAAAAATCCACGTTTATTGCCCTTTAAATATTCTTTAAAAATTCTTTAAAAAATCCACGTTTATTGCCCTTTAAATATTCTTTAAAAATTCTTTAAAAATCCACGTTTATTGCCCTTTAAATATTCTTTAAAATTCTTTAAAAAATCCACGTTTATTGCCCTTTAAATATTCTTTAAAAATTCTTTAAAAAATCCACGTTTATTGCCCTTTAAATATTCTTTAAAAATTCTTTAAAAAATCCACGTTTATTGCCCTTTAAATATTCTTTAAAAATTCTTTAAAAAATCCACGTTTATTGCCCTTTAAATATTCTTTAAAAATTCTTTAAAAAATCCACGTTTATTGCCCTTTAAATATTCTTTAAAAATTCTTTAAAAAATCCACGTTTATTGCCCTTTAAATATTCTTTAAAAATTCTTTAAAAAATCCACGTTTATTGCCCTTTAAATATTCTTTAAAAATTCTTTAAAAAATCCACGTTTATTGCCCTTTAAATATTCTTTAAAAATTCTTTAAAAAATCCACGTTTATTGCCCTTTAAATATTCTTTAAAAATTCTTTAAAAAATCCACGTTTATTGCCCTTTAAATATTCTTTAAAATTCTTTAAAAAATCCACGTTTATTGCCCTTTAAATATTCTTTAAAAATTCTTTAAAAAATCCACGTTTATTGCCCTTTAAATATTCTTTAAAAATTCTTTAAAAATCCACGTTTATTGCCCTTTAAATATTCTTTAAAAATTCTTTAAAAAATCCACGTTTATTGCCCTTTAAATATTCTTTAAAAATTCTTTAAAAAATCCACGTTTATTGCCCTTTAAATATTCTTTAAAAATTCTTTAAAAAATCCACGTTTATTGCCCTTTAAATATTCTTTAAAAATTCTTTAAAAAATCCACGTTTATTGCCCTTTAAATATTCTTTAAAAATTCTTTAAAAAATCCACGTTTATTGCCCTTTAAATATTCTTTAAAAATTCTTTAAAAAATCCACGTTTATTGCCCTTTAAATATTCTTTAAAAATTCTTTAAAAAATCCACGTTTATTGCCCTTTAAATATTCTTTAAAAATTCTTTAAAAAATCCACGTTTATTGTCCTTTAAATATTCTTTAAAAATTCTTTAAAAAATCCACGTTTATTGCCCTTTAAATATTCTTTGAAAATTCTTTAAAAAATCCACGTTTATTGCCCTTTAAATATTCTTTAAAAATTCTTTAAAAAATCCACGTTTATTGCCCTTTAAATATTCTTTAAAAATTCTTTAAAAAATCCACGTTTATTGCCCTTTAAATATTCTTTAAAAATTCTTTAAAAAATCCACGTTTATTGCCCTTTAAATATTCTTTAAAAATTCTTTAAAAAATCCACGTTTATTGCCCTTTAAATATTCTTTAAAAATTCTTTAAAAATCCACGTTTATTGCCCTTTAAATATTCTTTAAAAATTCTTTAAAAAATCCACGTTTATTGCCCTTTAAATATTCTTTAAAAATTCTTTAAAAAATCCACGTTTATTGCCCTTTAAATATTCTTTAAAAATTCTTTAAAAAATCCACGTTTATTGCCCTTTAAATATTCTTTAAAAATTCTTTAAAAATCCACGTTTATTGCCCTTTAAATATTCTTTAAAAATTCTTT